CCCCCCGGGGTGCGACACAGCCACTGCTCAACTGCCAAGAGCAGCAGTGCCCGAGAAGGACGCGCAGGAGCGAGACGGGAGCTCTGGTTCATGTGAAACGACAGACCCACCGCAGGCCGCAGAAAGGAAATCCCCGAGCCAGAATTAGATCACAACAGCACAGCAAATGCTGGGCTCTCACAGGGTGCGACGCCGTCGCAAACAGGTCTCGCGGGAGGCAGCGCCACAGCACGAGGGCAGAGCAGGAGGGGACAGCACGGGGGGCAGAGCAGGGGAGGCAGCAGGAGCAGCCGCCGTCCTGCCCAGGGCTGAGGCTGCAGGCAGGGAGCTGTCGGACACAGCAGCGCTTCCCACCGCATGCAGGAACAGCTCTGCACCAAATGCTGCAAAAGCGCCAACCCGCTCCACTGGACACAGCTACAGGACTGAGAGGTGGGGCAGGACCCTGCTACAACGAAGGAAAAATCTGCTGTGCCCCCGCTCCACCCCGACATCCAGCCCGCTCCTCAGCTCTGTTATGTCCCGCCTGCCCCAGTTCCAGCCCTTCGGAAGAGGCATTGCTGTAGGGAGCCCGTTCATCCCGTCAGGATCCCTCCTGGCCAGCGGGAGGTCACCCAGCAATCAGACACGTCTCTTTTCTTCAATCCATAGCGCTAGTCATCAGCACATGGGGATAACGCAAGGGGTCATGCACCAACCTGCTCCGGTTGGTTTGAGAAGGACCGTGTTTTCCTGAGACAAAAACCTGCAGGGTGATAGGAATTCTGCAACAGACACAGCTTCACCAGCACTACTGTGACTTACTGTCATAGTGCCTAGTGCTGAAACTGGGAAACAAGGGGCAAGTTTACGACTCAGCAGGGAGCGAGGCATGCGGAGCACAGCAGGTACCCCCGCGTTCCCTGGGGCACGTATAGGCGACTGGAAAAATCCCGAAGAGTTACATGTTCCTCTGTGGAAGGGGACAGGAAGAGGTTCTCAGACACAAACAGCTCCTCTGAGCAGGAAGAGCACAAGAAATAGGAAGGTGCCGCAGCAGCTCTCAAGGGAAAACTCATACACGATTAAATACTCTGAGGTAGAAATAGAAGAAGGCAGAGTCAGAAGCCACAGGGGAGCCGTGATGCCAGAGCCCAGCGAGCAGCCACCTGCAGCTCCCCCGGCCGATGTCCCTGTGCCTCACCGCTCGCCACGCTCCTCCGGCCGCATCCTAGCATCCCTCAGGGAGACGGAGCAAAACAAAGCCATGAAACTCAGGAATATGCACAGAAACATGTTAAATAGGTCAGAGGAGACCTAAAGAGGTTACTCTAG